GCTTTCTGCTGTCTCGGTCTTGAGCAGGAGCGCTTCACAAAAATGAACCGAAACCCTGCGAATATTCTATTTCCCCTGGAGCATTCATCATGGTAATTACTTGCTGGCGTTTTGCGGCAAGCTTTGCGTGCGCTTTAACATGGAACTCTTCCAGCTCTCGCTGCTGCTGGACACTAAACACCGTCTGAGCCACTCTTGACAGTCGCGGTAGCACGGTCTTGTGTTGTTTCCACCAGCGCGGCAAATCTTTGTCAACACCATAATAATTGATGGATATCTAAAATATAAATATAAGGAGGAAGCAAGCCTGATGCCTGGCCCGTGTCTGAGCTATGACGTGAAAATTGTCCCGAAGCCATACATAAGTTGGGGCCGTTGGGCTCGGGCTGAAATGCAGGGCTCTAAAGCGCAGCTTGTTGCATTTAAGCAGCAAAAATACACACAAAATGGCCATCCTGGCCACACAGTTAAATAAATGATAATATTCAGTGATGTGAAATGTGGAGTGAGGTCTGGCGCAGTTGCAGCTTGTACTTATTACTAAAACAAGAAAGCAAATGAGTAGCATTAGTCATTCATTTTAGTTAACATATGCTATGATAATTTGAACAGATTTTTATTCTTATTGTAAAATAATGGAACATTTAGGTCATGAATATTGTCTCAAGTCATGGAAATGTATTAGTAAAAATGTATATGAACCTTGAACTGTAACTTTCAAAAAAACTGGAGACATTCTGTGCTGTTTCCAGGTCACTCATCAAATTTGTAACACTCTTCAGTCAAATGTTCTCGCTTCCATTGGAAATGATGTAATGAGAACCTTGTACATCAAATCATGCTGAAGAACACAAGCATCACATGTTAGCCAGACTTCAATGACAGCATCACCTGAGCTGCGTGAACTCCAAGCAAGACGTGACCAATCAATTACTTGGTTTATTTTCCTCACAGTTATGCTGCTAAAATCTTCCCCATTACCAGTTATATTCAATGCAGAATCCTTCACTAGTGTTTTCAGAATTGAATTGTTTTTGTTAATTCTCTAACAGTGTCTTTTGTTGCCAGGTTGTGCTGCTTTCGGCCACCATGCCTGCTGATGTGCTGGAGGTGACCACCAAGTTCATGCGTGAACCTATTCGCATCCTGGTGAAAAAGGAGGAGCTGACTCTGGAGGGTATTAAGCAGTTTTACATCAATGTAGAACGAGAGGTGAGGAACTGGTTGTCTCTTTTTAATGTCTCATGTCCCTTCTTTTAAAAAAGTGCCATGCTAAAATCACCAGCTCAATGCCTACTGGCCTTGCTCTGGTGTTCATGCTAGTACTGGTTAATCTTTAAGAAGGAAGAGCAAAAGCACACGATTGGAAATGAGTCTAGGACGGACCTCTTTCTTAATGTCCGGTGTCCAAGGTCTCGAGATTTTGTGCCATACATATGAAATCAGGATGTTGATGTAGGATGACACCTTGTGGTGATTCTCCGCTAATGCTAATTTATAACTTGTGCTGTAGGAGTGGAAGTTGGACACGCTGTGTGACCTCTACGAGACGCTTACAATCACCCAGGCTGTTATCTTCTTGAACACGAGAAGAAAGGTTGACTGGCTGACTGAGAAGATGCATGCCAGAGATTTCACAGTGTCTGCTTTGGTGAGTTGATGTACATGCACATTAATGGATGAAACATGAAAAAAGGTTTAATTGTTAATGGTAGGCCAGGGATTGGTAAACGAGACCGATTGCACATTATGATGTTTAATGCTGGATGAAGTATGAAATGATGGTCTACCATCTTTCGGGACTGACCTCTTTTATGGAGAGATTTGTTTCTAAACATAACTGATCGTACTTGTCCAGAGTTTCCAAACCAGTGTGATGTTTGTAATGACTTGCATTGGTTAAAGCAGTCTCTCTGGGTATTTTTTTTTTGGTTTGTTTTCGTTTTTAGCACGGAGACATGGATCAGAAGGAACGAGACGTAATCATGAGAGAGTTCAGATCTGGCTCTAGCAGAGTGCTCATAACCACAGATTTACTGGTGAGTAGGGCTTCTGTTTTTAGAATTTCTGAAAGGCTTGTTGCATTCCCCCAAGCATTGGGACAAATGGCCATAGAACTAAGATATACAATAAAGTGATTTGAAGTTGTAAGAAGATTCAGCACTAAGTTGCTCATTAAATGTTCATGAATTGTTTCTACTTGTATGTGTAAATTGACCGATTTTGAATGAGTTTTTATTATTTAAATAGTTTCTAGTCCTCTGAGAAAACTATTTTATGCTAGTAATATCCATGGAAAAGTTAATAGTCTGTCCAGAATCAAAGTTTTTATTACAAATGGCTTACGTTTTATAGACTTATTATTTTTCAGCACTAAGTTGCTCATTAAATGTTCATGAATTGTTTCTACTTGTATGTGTAAATTGACCGATTTTGAATGAGTTATTATTTAAATAGTTTCTAGTCCTCTGAGAAAACTATTTTATGCTAGTAATATCCATGGAAAAGTTAATAGTCTGTCCAGAATCAAAGTTTTTATTACAAATGGCTTACGTTTTATAGACTTATTATTATTATTATTATTATTTTTTTGTAACCTGAAAATGAAATGGCTGTAGAAGGCTTGGTGTTAAAGGACTACTATTTATAAAAAAATAAAAGAAAAAGAAAAATAATTTTCGAGTTGTGCATCTTTAGCATTACTGACCCTGATATCCCTGTTCCTCAGGCTCGTGGGATTGATGTGCAACAAGTTTCACTTGTCATCAACTATGACTTGCCAACAAATCGTGAGAATTATATCCATAGGTGAGTAAAACATTCAGGTGTCGACACCGTCTGCGCTTAACGATTAATTTTTAATGTTGGTTTCGCTATAATTGTAATTTCTCAGGATTGGCCGTGGAGGTCGGTTTGGCAGAAAAGGTGTAGCCATCAACTTCGTTACAGAAGAAGACAAAAGGATTCTTCGAGACATTGAGACGTTTTACAACACAACTGTTGAGGAGATGCCCATGAATGTCGCTGACCTGATTTAAACTTTGGAAATTAACGCGGGGATAGCCGTTGAATGATCACTTCCATTTGCGCTTATTTTATTGGAAGAAAAAAACCTACTCCTCAATGCTGGCTGTGGATCCGACTTAAGAATTTGATACGGACGTTGACTCTCTGTGTGGACTGTTGTAGACTCCTACCATATCAGTATTTACTGGTGGTGGTATTTACAAAACATGGGTTCTTTACATGTATTCTTTTTCAGGTATTTTTTCCCTAGTATGTTCAAAATATACGTGTTGGATGTTCTTCATCGTTTAGTAATTTACTTGTGGACTAAAAGATACAAGTGCTGCATTAAGTCTGCCAATTATGTTATGGTAACATATGTGTGCAGTTTAACTTGGTTCACTTCACCTATTTAGTAATATAAAGGCACTTTTTAGTTTTGTGCAATGTATGCTTTAAATGTATATTGTTATCAAGTACTTCTTTGAAGAGGACTTCACAAAAAGGTGGGTCTTAACAATGATCCATGTAGTGTTTGGTCCATTTGACAATAAAGAGGATGATTATTCTGTCCATGAATTGTTGTCTAGTGTCTTTTGAATTCGTTCATTCCACACAATCGGAGTAATTACTGAATTTTCTTTTCTGTAAATGAAAGATTTAAAGTAATAGAAGTAGAACCCTTTTCAAATTTCTGTTCAAAGATTCGGTATTTGGTTTAGTAAGCTAACTATGCTCGCAAGTTCCACTGAACTCTGGGGAAACGCACCCCGGGGCGATTAACTTCCAGTTGGGCCTACAAAAATATATCTCTGCAGCACTTTTAGTAGAAGGTGTCCACATACTATTGGCCAGTTAATGTATATGTGTGATCCCTTACTGGACAATAATCAGATTAACCTTTCTTCAGAAAGTCATCTGTAAGAGTTTAAAGTTTGTACCTTCAAACGTCTCCTGAAATACAAATCTGCCCATTTTCGTCTGTGGCACTGGCTACAGAGGATGCATCCTAAGCCTTAAAGTGTCCAGTAAAGCAAAAGTTGTCCATAAGAAAAACAAAAACTGCCTGTCATATTGTATTCAGAAATTTAATACCATTCTTAAGGTGAATGTCAAAGACAGGCTGAGCATAGTCAAATTAAATATAACTATTCTGGACAGGAGAAATTTTATTTGCTTCTATAAAGAAAGCACACATGAAAACCGCAGCACAGAAATATGTTAAAATACACTGGTGTTGACCTTGAGAGTAATGTGTGGCACGATAGAAGAATGTTTTAGGATCCATTTTAAGACATTAGTAATCTTTCTCAAAATCAATCCAAATAGTATGTGGGTTTGTAAAGGGCTACTATTTAGAAGCACAAATAAACAAAGAATTTGAGATATTTGTTTATATATCTCCATTTCCAGTCCGACCTGGAATGGACTGACCATGCATTCATGTCAGGGCTTTTCGCTGCCTTTGGCCTGAGGCACTGGGATAGGCTCCAGTATCCCTGTGACTCTACACACATGAAGTGGCTTGAAGAATGGATGTATTTAATTGGGTGCTGTCTCTTTAAGAGCAATTATGTTTTTAGGCAATCAGCATTGATCGTGAATCTAAGCCCTGCTGTAAATTGTTGCTTTCAATTTCTTTACATTTAGTTAAAACATCAGTTCTAAACAAAATAATTTTGAATTTGATTGAGTTCAGCTGTTGGTTGTAAAATAGTAGTAGTTATATATATATATATATATACACACACACACACAAACACAGGTGGGTAAAAAAGTTGACACTTTCATTTCATTTTGATTTTCAATTTTATTTCATGTTAATTATACATGAATAACTTTTTTTTTTACTTTTATTTCTTTGAACACACCACTGAATTCCTTACCGAACCAATCTAACCTACTTGTCCTGTGAAATACAGTACAAAGCTACTCTAGTAATCAGAGTTCTTTTCAATTTTAATAACTTGTATTAAAAAAAAGCTGCCTTACATGGGTAAGACTTTGACAGGAATGGTACACATAGGAGCCTCACTTTCGTGACACTACAGTAGAGCCTCCAAATCAGTCCTGATGGTATTTGACCAACTTCAGCTTCAGTTACACGCTTCCACATTTCCCGAATGTCTCTGACGTGTCCATGAGAAGTCATCATCTGGTTGTAGATACAAGGGTGATGAGGAGCTTTTCCCTCTCCTGAAAAGAAAGCGTTGTCCTTGGGAGCAATGTCTATCACTTTGGCGCAGATCCCGAGGAAGACGTCATCAATGTGAAAGGAAGCGTTAATAGTGAGCGCAGCGTGATAGATTTTGGTAGCCACATCTCTGGAGAGGACATACCCAGATCCAGGGGTGTAATCTGGGTAAGACAACCACGGGTACAAGTCTTGGGACATGTAGTACTTGCTTTCTTTGTCTCGGACGGGTGGTGAACCGTGGTGAACCCGTCCTATCCACAGGTCTTTGGCATTACCGTGGCCAAACCCTTGCAAGAAGTGAATTAAGTTGGGAATGTGAACAAAGACGTCGTCGTCTGCAGACATGAGGAACTGGGCGCGGTGGCAGTAGGTTTCTTTCCAGCCAAGCTGCAAAAGTAGCTTCAGAGTAAGATTGTGGAAGGTGTCCATGAAGTCCTGCTGGATGAGGTCGTGATATCTTTGGTCCTCAAACAGCAGTTGCATCTTAAGTAGTCTTCTTTGCTCTGCTTCAGGATGGAGACCAAGAGCGAACAACACCCTTACAGTAACACCCAGTGTACTTTCAATGTACGCCTCATTTCCCCAAGTAGAGCGAATGGCTTGTCTTCTCTCAAAGTTCTCAGAGGAGCTTTTCACAAAGAGCAGGAGCAGAACGTCTTTTTCACCACACTTCCCCTCGTGGTTTATTAGGTATCTGCGATTGTTGTACTTGATAGCGTCTTCGGGATTGACTCGAAAGCTTGCGTTAATGAACGTGAAGTTATTGAGAAGGTAGCGGTACGAGAAAGACATTACATGGGTTACAATGTTATTGTCAATCTGTTCCCAGTATGCCATGAGCATTAAGGTACTAAAGCATATTATTATCAGCCGTAGTTGGTATTTTTTGAATCTAGGCATTTTGAAAAATATCATGGCTCTTCTGAACTTTGGCTCCTGTTGCAATTCATAAGATTCCTGGCTGTTTCATTTAGAGTCATAGCGGCCTTCAAACCGTGTCCAAGTCTGGGTTCCAATATGAGACAAGAAAACAGTCTGGTACTGTGATTGTTCAGCTGCCATTGATGTTGAAGCCTTTGTCAAGACAAAAGGCCAATGAGGTGCTTCCGCTGTGATTGTCAAAGTCTGTAAGAGAAACGTACATGACAACTTCAGTGGACTTATTCTGGACAAGAATGACCAGTGAGTGAGATAACACGAGACCAGGAAATCAATTAAGACGCCTGAATTATTTTAGATTTACAGTACATTAACGTAATCTGGCAAGACATTTATAAGGGATAGTTCACCCCCCCCCCAAAAAAAAAAATCTGTCTCATTTGCTCACCCTTATGTCGACATAATTGTCATTTTTTGGTGAACTGAATTGTCTTCTCCTTATGCCAGGTTCAGACTACACTATTTGAGCCCGATTTTGCCACGATTTGCTTGACGTAGGGTGTCGTGGGGATTCGTAAATGACAATGGGCGTCGGGACGCAAGATTCCATCGTTTCAGCTCGTGTAGTGTGTCATAGTCGACTACAACCGATTCCGCGTCTGCGATGCTTCACGACAGAAAGACTAGCATGTTTAATTTTTTTTCCGTCGTCCACGACGAATTCTGTCACATTGGTGATGTTGACCAATAGCAGCACAGAAGCTCTTTCATACACAGGTTTCAAACATGGCAAAACGAAAGAGAGATGATGGTGCTGCTAGGTGGAATTATGAAATGGAGGAAAGGTTCGTGGAGCTGTGGCAACAGTACTCCTGCCTGTATGATGTGTCATCGAGGGACTACCACGACAGAACAAAGAAAGAAAAATGCTGGCGAACTATAGCGGAAGCGCTTCAGCAATGTTTACACTCTTGTTTTCGGAAGTCAGTCGCTAGTTCCGCCTTCTCGATGACATCACGTTAAAGAAGGCACGCGATGAATGGTCGGGAAGCAGCGTGTAGTCTGACATGTTTCTTGTCCAAGATTTTAGGAGTCAAAATCGTGTAATCTGACACAGTGACTATCGTGACCGACAAAAATATTGTGTTGTCTGAACCCGGCATTACGCTCTCCCATTATAACACTCACAGATATGCCTTCTACTAAGCAACTCCAGATTTGTACAGATTTAATAAATGACACAAAATGAATTTGGGAAAAGAGAGTAAATACTTTTTTACTCCTTTACGTACAAATTTAACGCAGGAGTGCGACACAAAGTGCAGTGTCCTCCTACTTTCCGTGGTGTTGGATGTGTTTTATTCAAAGTAAATGGTTAAGCAAGCTTGGTTGGTTATTTCTAATGTATCTCATTTCGAAACATCCTGTTTTGCATGAATCTAGTCTGTCCAACAGTCAAACAAGATTTAGTTTAAGCTAGTAAATCTTGCCAAGATGTTAAAAATGAACCTCTACTACAATGAAAGGCCATTCTCATGATTCACAATTCAAAACTAATTTATCCATTCTATATACAGTGGAAAATTAATTCTGAATGGTGAATCGTGAGAATGATCTTTCAGTTTTTAAGAGCTTATTTAATCTATCTATCTATATAATCTGTTTGACGCACAACTTCTATCCTAAAAGAAAATGCGGCATATCCTCACATCTCAAGTACTGCAATGCAAATGCTATGCAATGCGAATGCAAATTTGAAGAGAAAACAGGCCTGAGGGTCTCTGTTTTCTTTGTGGAAACCCAATTAAATCACAGAAAGACTTCAGGATACACTTGACAGGACAAGAGAGATACGTCAGAGCACTGAGCTTCAACCAATCACTTGGCTTAACCAAGATATCAATAGTGTAAATATCATGTTTTAATCACAATAAATGTAGTAGCTTAGTACTTTTTGGTAGTTTCGCACAAGACAATTTAAAATGGCACACAGCCAGACACGTTCTAAGGTTTCCTAAATGATTAGGTACGTCTGAAACTCCCAAATAAGGATGAAAAGAAAAGCTGCTTGAATAATGCTTCAGATTTCATGGAATGATTATTACCGCAATTCCAAGTAATTCTGGGACCCTGGGTCAGATTCCCTTTTGATTTCAAACACTTTATAAAGATAAACTCGTACAGTACGCTACCATCCACAGCAATATTTGCTTATATATGTCATACCAAGTAGCAACAGCAAACAAATGATGCTGGCCTTTTTTTTTTTTTTTAAATCAAAACTAACTTTGCTTAATTTTCCTCTGAATACTTTTTTTAATGACATTTAACTAAGTGGTGCTACGATGATTTTTAGTGGATATTTGAAGCCCGTTCTTCTCAAGTTCTCAGTGTCCAAATACGTTTAGTTTTATTTGATTTGTTGATTTTATGGTTCAAATTAAAAGTGTGTTTGCACTATATTTAAGCTTGTCCCCACCTCTGGCCCCGCTAAATTTGAAAT